CTGCAAGGCTCCCAGCATCGGAGGACCACCCAGAGAGTCAGTGTAGAGGCCAGGCTCTGAGAAAGGGAGCCGGGGGGTTGATAAGGCTCTTCTGAGAGAGCCAGGGCACTGAGGGCAGAAGGGGGAGACAGGACAAGATTAAAGCCCTGTTGAGAACTGACATGGTCCCTTCCTTGTACCCAAGCTGGAAGTCCACAGAAGCATCTACTTCCATCTGGGAGGGTGAGAGAGAGCCTGATAGCCAGCTGTCCCTGTGCCCACTGCCTGTGGCAGGTATAGCATCAGCCCAGGACCCAAATCTTTATGTGTAGGAGGGACTCCAGCTCCAGGAACTCAGTCCTTACCTGCCTTACTTCAGCAGGGCCCATTTTCTGCTGAGGACACCCACCTGCTGCCCCCCCTCCCAGCCCCCCACCATCTACTACCCAAGAGCTGGAGCCCTCTAGGCACCTTAGGAAACTCAAGTCCCAGCTGCTTCTACTCTGCTGGGATGTGTATCTCATTGACACAGGTCCTGACCCTACCAGGCCTCCTCCACCAGCTCCCACTGACAGGGCTGCCAAGCTTCCAGACCCCTGTCTTTCTCTTGTGGAGCCCACCAAGCAACGGATTTTGTTTGGAGTGATGAGATCCCAGCTCCCCACCCTCCTGCAGATACTCTGCTCCCCCCATATTGAATCCACTCTGGGGCCCTGCCAAAGCAGACTGGGGGCCCTGTAATCCCAGTCCACTGACAGCTGCAGGCCTCCTAGCCCTGCCTTCCCTGCCCCTCTCAACACCTCAGCCCCCACCTTTGCCAACCCCAAGGGCATCACACTCATAAGAAGTGGCCTGTGTCTGTCAACCCAACCCCATCAAATCTCAGCTGCCTCAGTCTCTGTGAATCGAGCACCCCCAGATTTCTGGCTCGGCTATCAAGGCAATAGTGGTTGCCATGGGCGCTCCTGTTCAACCCTCTCTTCCAAAAGCTGGAGGCCCAAAGCCTCCGTGGGGATGAGGAGGAGGCCAGGCAGGATCCTTTGGGACGTGAAGCGTCATACACTCCACCCTAGAAGGACACTGCTCTTGTCAAAACCCTGTCCTCCTGATGCCAAACCACTCCTTCCTGACTTCTCCCCCAGGAGCAGACTTACCAGGAAGATATGCTTCCTCCCCCACTCCCCCATTCACCTGATTTGTATATGTGGATTTGTTCTTCTATAAAACATTAAGAGGCTACTTTACTATCATAGAGATTGTCATATTCTTTCTGTCAAAACTCATGGTAAAATTTTTGTCTGCAGAAGGATTTTCAACTTTGGAACTACTCACATTTTGGACCAGATAATTCTTTGTTGTAGGGGATTGTCCTGTTTATTGCTGGACCCTGGCCACTATCCAGTGGTTACCAATAGTTCGTCCACAGATCCAACAACCAAAATACTTCCAGAGATGTCAAATATCTCTAGGAGGAAAAATTAATACAGTTGGGCAACAGTGAACTATGCATAAATATTTTTTAAGGCTACATCTAAAAGAAGATAATGGCAAATGAAGAAAATCAGACACAGACCTTAAATGTAGCACAATGCCAGTGAAATAAATACGAAATAATATCTCAAGCATAATGAAGGAGACCAGAAACCAGGTGAGAGGTCCTTTGTATACTTTGCACGTTCTATTCTTTTCATTCAAAGCATCTTTAAACACTGTTCAAACACAAATCTCATGGGTTTCCCTACTTAGAGAGTCAGAAAACACAGCTGTAAACAAATCAAAGCCAATTCTCTCATGAGGCTCCATTTATAGATATGTGGAGGGGCGCCTGGGTGGTTCAGTCGGTTAAGCGTCCGACTTCGGTTCAGGTCATGACCTCACGGTTCATAAGTTCGAGCCCTGCGTCAGGTTCTGTGCCGACAGCTAGCTCAGAGCCTGGAGCCTTTCTTCAGATTCTGTGTCTCCCCCTCTCTCTGTCCCTCCCCTGGTCTCTCTCTCTCTCTGTCTCTTAAAAATAAATAAAACATAAAAAATAAATATGTGGATATATAAGATAAACCAGTAAATAAATGCATACTATGTCAGTGGAGGATATTGGCTACCAAGAAAAATAAAATCAACAAGAAACAACAGGTGTTGGTGAGGATGTGGAAAAAAAGGAACCCTCATGCCCTGCTGGTGGGAATGCAAACTGGTGCAGCCACCATGGAAAACAGTATGGACGTTCCTCAAAAAGTTAAAAATAGAACTACAATAGGATCCACTCACTGGACAACTGGGTATTCCCCCCAAAATACAAAAACACTAATTCAAAGGGATACATGAGCCCCTGTGTTTATAGCAACATTATCTACAGTAGCCTAATTATGGAAGCAGCCCAAGTGCCCACCAGTAGATGAATGGATAAAGAAGATGTGGTATGTATGCATACATATATATTTACAATGGAACAGTACTCAGCCATAAAAAAGAATGAAATCTTTCCATTTGCAATGACATGGATGGAGCTAGAAAGTATAATGTTAAGCTAAATAAATCACAGAAAGACAAATAGTATATGATTTCACTCATGTGTAGGATTTAAGAAACAAAGCAAATGAGAAAAGGAAAAAAGACAGAGACATAAATCAAGAGACAGGCTCTCAGCTAGAGAAAACAAACTGATGGTTGCCACAAGGAGGAGTGGGGGGATGGATGAAATAGGTGAAGGGGATCAAGAGTACACTTATCATGATGAGCCCTGAGTAATGTAAAGAATTAATAAATCACTATATTGTACACCTGAAACTAATATAACACTGTATGTTAACTATAGAATTAAAAATATTTTAATTAAAATAAAAACACACATCTTAATGCAAAAGAAAGAAAGAGAAGAGAAAAGGAAAAGAAAAGAAAAGAAAGAAAAGAAAAGAAAAGAAAAGAAAAGAAAAGAAAAGAAAAGAAAAGAAAAGAAATAAAGTCAACTGATTCAGTTCTCCTGGAGCTACTGACATTTGGTCAAGGAAGTCCTTGTTATGTCAGACAGTCCTGAGCCTCTTACTGCATTATTCCCTCTTGTCCCCACACTCTAATTTCCAGAAGGCCTGTCAAGTCACTTATGGAACCAAAATACTGTCCCCAACCCACATTTCCAAATGCTCTGAGTGCCATCCCCAGTTGAGAAAACCTTCTAAATCTTTAACAGGTCTGTGAATAAAGAGGGGTCTTCCCTGCATTTGTTCTTTTTCTTCTGCTCATGGGGATTTTCTCTTAGAAGGAATTCACCTGAAACTCCAGGCCTATTCTTTTCTTGGGCACACAGGGAAAATATTATGTCTAAATTATCCCAGCCCCCCCCCCCCATCCCTATCTCCTGGGAGCGAGTTGTGGTGGTGGGATACAGTTGGGGGAAATATCAACAGGAAAAGATGAGATTCACAAGAGACCCTACCCACCCAGCCAAGAGAGCGCTTGGCTGTCCTCACATGGCCCTGGGGACCATGGGACCATGGACAGTTCCCAGCCTTTTTCCCTTTGCAAACTCAAGTAGGGACACAGGAAAACAGAAAACGGGGCCAGCTGATGTCCACACAAATATGAGCAAAGAAGGAGACACATTGTGGGTGTGTCTTCTCTCAGCCCCCTCTCCCAGTGTCTTCAGCCCTCCAGTCCAGGCTCTGATGGAAAGACCCAGAAAACACACCAACTCTTCAGAAAAGCCTCCATCTTGTCTCACCCCGCCCCTGTGACCTGCTCCTTGTAATCCCATCTGCACACATACTCCCCCTCATAATTCTTGCTCCTGCCTCCATGTATTCGCTCAAACAGTCCCTGCCTGGGGTGCCCTCTCCCCCTTTCTTTATGAATCTGCTCCTTCCCCTTCTCTACAGCCAATCTCATTGGCCATCTTGCCATAAGGTCACCCCAACCTCTACAGGTGGACACAATAAACCCCCTCTGAATTCTCACCTCTGACTCTGTTCTTTTGTGCTGTGATAACACAGTCAGGTGCAGTTACCTACGTTCACATCCTATGTCCTACAGATCCCCAATTTCCCAAGAGAGAGACAGGGCGAGCCTACTTTCTCAATGGCCCTATCACAGGAAAATGGCTATCGTGTTCAGAGAATGAATAAGGGAAAGAAGGGTAGATAAACGGGGGGACACCTGCTTCTGCTCTCACAAAATCACTATGGGCATGCACAGCAGATGAAGAAATGGACACCCACATGCATTCCCAGTCGTGGATTGGTGCCAGTTTTATACAAGGTAATGTGTAGGTTTGTTTCCTAAGTTTTTTGCTTGTTTTGAGATAAAATACATATAACCTAAACTTTGTCATTTTAATCATTTTAAAGTGTGGGTCCAGGGGAATGTGGGCCATCCAGTCCTACCAGAGTTCTACTGTGCTGCACAATAGACCCAGGGTGGCTGGAGTCCTGTACTGATTGTCCCTGCAGGAGAGGGGTGAGAGCCCATCTCTGCCCAGGACTCAACGTCCAGAGCAGTGATCTGAACCCTAGTCAGATGCCTGGTCCTAAGCCTGACAGAGAGTACAGAATCCCTCATGTCCACCACAGGGCAACATCAGGACAGGCACAAAATGTGGTTCTCTCTCTCTCTGTCTCTCTGTCTCTCTCTCACTTTCCCTCTCTCACTTTCTCTCTCTCTCTCTCTTTCTCACACACACACACACACACACACACACACACACACACACACACGAACCACATGTCCTCAAGTACCCTTGTGCATGGAGTCAAGGAGTCAGGGTGATTTGGGGAGGAGAGTGACCACCATTCCTAGACAAAACGATAGACGTGCCTTTGGTAGAAAGATGACCCTGAGCCCAGGAGAAATGACATCACGTTCCAGGTGTACCTCCCAGGGAGAGCTATGCTGAGGAGTCATGCATCCTGCCTGAATGAAGTAGAGGCGAGTCTCCTATTAGTGAAAACACTGTATATTTCATTCTCCCTGTTCTTCCCCCACAGATGGGCCCACCCCAGGAGCCTTAGCACTTTATTCCTGATGGGGCCATCATGGGCATCGTGACTGGGGCCCAGGGTGAGCTGACTCTGAACTGGAACCCCTGGATATCTTCTGCATCAAGAAACCAGTGGGGGTAATGGAGCCCTTCAGATCATGTTCCTCCTTTGCTTAGGGGGAGACAGAGGGCTTCCCTCATCTACAGATGAGTCTCCCTTCCCCTCCTCATCCCTCATCCACCATTCTGACATTTTCCTGCCCTCAGCTAAAGAGGATGACTTTTCAAAAAGTCTTTGGCCAAAGCAACCCCAGACACCCAGAACTTCCCTTAACTCTGTCTGGGGATAAGGGCTCCAAGGACACCCATGTCCTCTATCACTTACCTCCCTGCACTGGCTCCTCTCTCACCTGGGTGTAAGTTCCCTTCAAATCAAAAGCCTCAGCACCAAGTACCTCATGCTCATGCCAAGGCATAGGACACTCCCAAGGAACACAGACACCCTAAGAGAGGACACCCTCCAGACTGACCATGTCTCGCCTGACCAGAGGGCCCATATCCCTGGGTATTTCCTCACCTGGATCACTCCCCTCAGCTCCCTGGGAGAATATGAGACTCCATGTGGAATATTCTCGCCCTCACCTGGGGTTCCATGGGCTGGGACACCTCTCTGAATAAAAATACCTCCAAATACTCCCCCACTCAGCTCACCAGGTCACTGTTAAGTTTTACATCTGTATCTGTTCACCTTGACAGACCCATGAGGTCTCTGCATCAGAGAATAGCCCTGAGACTCAGAGAAAGAGGAAAGATCCAAAGACTAAGGGAAATTGGAATGTGGTATGGACTTATCATTTAAGACCTACTCATCCACCCTGGGAGAGTCCAGAGGACACACCTTTCCCTTTCATGACTGAGGTGTGAGCTTATAAGGGAGCCCCAGCACACTTAAAGAGCTCTGTGATCGTTCTCCTCTGTAGGTCAGAGGGAGCTATTGCCAGTGAACTGGGAAACGTAAATACAAGGAGGGAGATTGGATCCCAAGGAGGTAGGGCCAAGAGGCCATATTAATCACTGAAAGTGACTTGGGCCACAGTTATCACGAAGGACAACAGACTCAAAGCAGCAATCAGAATAGTCTCATTCACAGAGACCAATGACATTGGCTAGTTGATCATGGTGTTCCTAGAAATGAAACAGATGGAAAGCCTACTGAATTCTTACTTGGTCTATATAAGCGGGAGAGTTCTAGAAAGTCCATCTTTTTTTTTTATTTTATTTTATTTTATTTTTTTTATTTATATAT